TATGTTGAATGTTTGTCCGTGATTTGTGCATATAGAGATCCTCATGGGTTCCAACACCAACAGGTCAGTCCACTTGAACCTCACAGACTTCCTCGTCAGTTGGGATAGAGGGAGGGCAATCTTGGAAAAGCCCTCGATAAACCTGCGATAGTAGCCAGCTAGACCGAGAAAACTCGAACCTCGGATGGACTCCTCAGTGTCGACCAGTTCTGAACAGCTGAGACCTTGGAAGGATCCACCTCGATACCTGCCTGAGTAATAACATGACCCAGAAAGGCTACTCGCTGGAGCCAGAACTCGCATTTGGAGAATTTTGCAAACAACTTTTCTCGTCTGAGGGTTTCGAGAACCACCCTCAGATGCTCCTCGTGCTCCTTCTGGCTCTTCGAGTAGATAAGAACATCGTCAATAAAGACAATAACAAACTAATTGAGGTAGGGATGGAAATTACGATTCATCAGGTCCATGAAAACTGCTGGCGCATTGCTGAGACCGAATGGCATGACGACGAACTCGTAATGGCCGTAACGAGTCCTGAAAGCGGTCTTAGCAATATCTGACTCCTTAATCTTCAGTTGATGGTAGCCTGATCATAAATCAATCTTTGAGAATACACAGGCTCCCCTCAACTGATCGAATAAGTCATCGATCCTGGGAAGCGGATACTTGTTCTTGATTGTCAACCGGTTAAGATCCCGGTAGTCGATACACATGCGCATGGATCTGTCCTTCTTCTTAACAAAGAGAACGGGTGCTCCCCAAGGTGACACGCTCGGTCGGATGAAACCGAGTCGTAACAGCTCCTGAATCTGAGTCTTGAGCTCCTGCAACTCCTTAGGCGTCATACGGTATGGTTCTTTGGATACGGAGCCGGCTCCTGAAATTAGATCGATAGAGAACTCCACCTGCCGGTTAGGCGGTCCTCCTAGAAGCTCGTCTGGGAACACGTCTACAAACTCACGAACAATTGGGACATCGTGAGGTGATCGTGCTTTCTGAGAATCATCGACAAGGCTCACCAGATAACCCTGGCAGTTGCCTCGTCGCAGCAACTTAGTGGCTTTCGCCATCGAAATAACATGAGGCAATGAACGATTCCTGGAGCCAAAGAAAGTGATCGAATCATCTTCCGGAAGATAAAGAATAATCTCCCGGTCATGGCATCTGATATCTGCATGATAAAAGGATAGCCAATCCATTCCAAGAATAAAGTCGAAGTCCCTCATCTCGAGAACAAACGCGTCGGTAGACAATGAACGCCCACCGATGGAAAGGCTGAGATCTGAAGCTTTAGCTGAGTTCACTATCTTTTGTCCCGAGGCTAAACTCACCTCGAGAGGATCGACAACGGTAACGGCATGAACTCCGATGGCATCAAGACATCGTCGTGAAATGAAAGAATGTGTCGCTCCAATATCAAACAAAGCAAACACAGGAACATTATTAAGCACAACCATCCCTGACATAGTACCTGGCTGCTGCTCGGCCTCTGCCTGATCGACTGCGTACACTCGGGCCTGTTGTCTGCCCCTCTNNGCTGCTGTAACTGCCTGATCGACTGCGTACACTCGGACATTTTGCCCACATGTATCCCGAGCCGAAGAGACAGAACCCAGGACCGCACCAGCAGCAGCTTCAATACCCTCAACACCAGCCCCCGCAGCATCAGCAACAGAACCAGCAGCGACCCATGGCCCAAGCCCGAGTTTACGCTCTCACCAATGACGAGGCCACCAACAACACAGATACCATGTCTGGCATGCTTTCTATTTCCAACGTGCCTGTCTTTGCCCTATGTGATACTGGTGCCACGCATTCTTTCATTTCATCAAGTTGTTTGGAGGCCTTAGGAATTAGGGATGTCAGTAAGGTCGACGCTCTCGAGGTTAGCCTAGCCTCGGGAAAGACGATTGCTACTGATTCAATGGTTCGAGGTTTGCAAGTTAATATCGGT